CGGTATTAGGGTCACGTAAACTCACTAGTTAAAGGTAAGGTGCGAGGAACACAGTGATGGACATGTAGGAGTGATGGGCTCTGGACCCTTCAGTGAGTGTGAGGGGCGTCTCTCTCTCTCTCTCTCTCTCCCTGCTGACTCACTCTCTCATTATACGCTATAAAAGTCCTCAGCAGACCAAGAACCTCTGCGGATGACTCACAACTTTAGGTCTTTGATGCGTGACTTTCATCCTATATTGTTTCTGTCCTTCATTGAAAACTAAATAAATCACAGGAAAAAAATTCATCAGATCGGCGAAACCTTTTTATGGTTATTCCCCGCTCAAAAAGATTGGAGTGGGGGAGAGTATAGCGTGAGATCCCTCTGTCTGTATCGTTTCCGGAGCATAACTTAAAACTGTTCTCATTACATTTATAAAACTCCGTGTACAAATTATTGCATTTCATAGAAGGGTATTTTGCGTATTTTGCTATATGAAAAATTTGGTTAACAATATTATACCCGTCGCTGGAATCATAGAGGACTTCATATATGTTTTCCTATAAACAGATAGACGAACGAATTAAAAACTGTAAACCTCTGCTCTATGTGAATGATTACTAACAAGATAAAAATATGTACTAAATATATCACGAAAAGCTAAACTGATTGAACAACACCTGTATAGTTACTGTATAATCTATTATATATTTTCTTACCTGGAGTAACCTAAATAATTTTGCTTTCGTGAATAAAATGAGAGAGAGAGAGAGAGAGAGATTTCTTCTCAGTGAAAAATTTGCCAGAGTGTCGCCTTGAGGAACCGAGTGTCTCAAGTTGGGTCGGTCTTCAGCGTGGTGTGAGCCGAACTTGGGATGAGGTAATGATGTACTCCGACACCTGCTGCGTGATGACTGCTGCCGTGGGTGGTGGATGCTATTCCCCCTCGGGTTCTGTCGGTCATTCCCTCGGGCACTGCCTTGGGGAGGGGGGGTAGGGTGTTTATTTCTCACGGGTATTACCAGACCTCCCTCGGGTATTTCCGGTTACGTTCCCTCAGGAAGCAACTGTCGGTGTTCCTTGTATATCCCTACTGTGGGTTGGGGGATGTTGATTTTATTCTCCCTCGGGTACTGTCGAAGCACTCTTAGACCTACTATCGGTAGAGGCGGTTATTTCCTCCCTTGGGCACTGTCGGGGCTCCCTGGGCACTGTCGGTGGTGGCATATACAGTATATCTATCACCTGGTGAGAAAATCCCTATCAGGTGGTGTCGGTGGGCGAGACAGGTGGACGATAACCTGAGTGTGGTGAGTCACCTGGTGGTAGGAGGCGAGAGAGAGTGAAATGTGTCTCTCAACATACCTGTCTGTATCCCCGCCACTCATGTATAGCATAGTACACGCCTTTGAGGGCAAAATGCGCGTTGATTGGTCCATAGACTCCATATACCCGCTAAATAACTCCACCCCCTCGTACCTACCTCACGTTATATGTTTAATTTGAACTGTTTTGAACTTATAAGTGAATCTAATCTAAATAATATAACAGTTTATAATATCTGTTCACAATCGCAAATTTTAGCTTAATCTGTTATTCTAATCTGTATTTCACCTGTCTTAAAATCTTTAATCTTACACCTGATCTACCTGACTTAAGGTGTTCTGATATTAGTCTTGATGTATCTGGCATATTAACTTAATCTAATTTATGTAATCTGTCTGTACGCTGTGTAATTTTCCCCTCATCCATGCCTCCGTGTTCTGTATTCCTCACCTGTCTCTCACTGTAGGCCTACTGTCCCTCACCTGTCTCACTGTACCCCGTCTCTCTGTCCATCACTGTACCCCGTCTCTCTCTCTCTGTCCTCTGTCACTCACCTGTCACTCACTGTGTGTACTCGGGCCCTAACACTTGTACTCGTGCTGTGTGAATGGTTTAAGAACACAGATTTGTACTTGTTTACATACACAGTCATGTATGTTTGTATGTAAATATGTGCGCAGTCGTACAAAAATACTCACACATACGCTCATTCATACACACGGAAGACAAATGCGTTTTTATGCACCTGCGAAACATTGGTACACACACACACACACACACACACACACGTAATAGTTATGTGATTTGGTAACTTGTCTGCTGAAGTGTGTGTGTGTGTAATAATAATAAAAATAATAATAATAATTAACGGTTTATTGAAAGAGCTTGGCAGCCAGAAGGCTGAAAATATACAGTTACATATTTGGGGAATGGGTTACGAATTACAAATAATATACAAGTGACATAAGTGACACAAATAAGACATATAGTGTGTGTGTGTGTGTGTGTGTGTGTGTGTGTGTGTGTGTGTGTGTGTGTGTGTGTGTGTGTGTGTGTGTGTGTGTGTGTGTGTGTGTGTGTGTGTGTGTGTGTGTGTGTGTGTGTGTGTGTGTGTGTGTGTGTGTGTGTGTGTGTGTGTGTGTGTGTGTGTGTGTGTGTGTGCTAAGGAGGAAGAGGGAGGGAGTAGAGGAGAAAAAGGAGATAGAGAATATGATGATGATAAGACGGCCTATGTGATGATATTAACAACAGTAAGATAAAGTAGAGGAGGAAGAGACGGGAAGAATGTGATAAATCTAATATACTATAGGAATAGCCGTGTGTGTGTGTGTGTGTGTTCTGGGCAACGGCACAATCGTTTTTCATCAAACTTGGTGGAAAAATCGCAAAAAATTCGTAGTGGAACAAACCTGGTCCCATGTCGATGGTTTCTTTAGGAAGGCATTAATTAACCATTTTGTCGCTGTCAGCCAGACGGCGGTTGCACGCTCGCCAAGCACGAGCGTTCAAACTTTCACCGGGCACGAAGGGCCCGCGATCACTTGTTAATCACTATTGAGATGAAAAAATTAATGACTGAAGAAGAAACGGGAAGAGCGGGTGGAACGATGAGGACGAAGGGGATGAATTAGGAACTATTAACAAACATGACACAGTGTGAGAGGAAAGGAGGGATAGGGAGATGCATGAAGGCCACACAGGACCAGTAAACTAAATATATTCCTGGAAGCAAAGTCTATATTATATATATACTTGAAAACTGGGCTGCTGCTGTGTGTAGATTGGCCAGTCATGTCTACCACAACTCCCCACTCCCCCCTCGCCACCCCCCCTCGCCACCCCCCCTCGCCACCCCCACTCCCCTCAAAGAGAAGGGGTGTTAGGGGGTGAGAATATTAGGGTTCTCGGAAATTCCCAAGATATTTTTTTTTTACCGTAAGGAAAGGTTAAGTGAGGTCCTATAGATCCGGTTGTGTTCGTATTTCTTGAGGTTATTGTGTCCGTCACTGTGTCGTAGCTTTGATGTGGCACTTGTCTGTCTGTCTTTCTGTCTGTCTCTGTCTGTCTTCTAACGTCTATAGTAAAGGAGAAATAATGTTGACGTTTGGAGCTTTTGAGAATATGACACAGCCACTGATGGGAGGATATCAAATTATTTGGTGTTGATGAAGGTAGTTGTATTATTAGTTTACCTGTCAGTTTCACGTGTGTGTGTTTGTGTGTGCATGCGTCTGTGTCTGTGTGCGTGAGTGTGCATACATGTGCGTGTGAACAAGGTAAAAGTGTACCCGGGGTAGTGTTAAGAGTACCGGTGAAGTAGCTTAATAAGGAGGCGGGCTGGTGGGTGTGTTGGGATGCAGGATCACGTTTCACCCGGTAGAGTATTGTGTGGTAATGTACACTACTGTGGCCGTTGAGCCGCTCGGGGGGGGGATGTTTCCTGTCGGTGGTGAGCATGTCGGGGCACTGAGTCACTCGATACTGGCAGCTGGTTACTCTGGGGTGTCCATCTGGCCTCTTGCCTCTCTCACCTCGTAGTTAAGATGACAGGCGATGTCTTATGAGGGTTCACACGTCTTATACACCGAGGGAAACTCTATTACAGTAAACAGGTGGTCATTGTTTGCCTTACACCTGGCTCGTCTTGTCTCGACTCCATAAGTCATTGTTTACGTAGACAACTTGAAGGGAAAAAAGACACCGATCACAAGGTTGTACTCGTAATTTTGTAAAGTATTTAAAAAACATGTGAAAATAGACCATTTTTATTAATGATATTTTAATATTGTTTTATATATTTTTTTTATTATTTTGTATTCTTTGGTATTATTATTATTATCTTTGTATTTATCTGTTGGAAGTGGTGTGTGTGTGTGTGTGTGTGTGTGTGTGTGTGTGTGTGTGTGTGTGTGTGTGTAGAAGGTCTCGTGACAGGAGAGGGACACGGTTGGTGGTGGTCTTGTAACGTAATCAGGGGATACACTTACCAAATTTTAACCACGTCGAGCTGTCTGACTTGTTGTTATTGGCAAAGTTGAAGGTTCTCACGTCTGGTAAGTGTAGCTACGTCTAGAGTGCCACCCCCCACCCCCCACCCCGGCCCTCCAGATGATCTCTTGTTGATGCTTACTGATGTTGAAGACTGTCAGTGGTTGAAGGGACACCCATGGGAGACTTATAGGGGTGTTAAGTGAGGCAGTTAAGACGTAAACATTAAGCTCTAGTGATTCCCGGTTTCCAGGTGTAATGTTACGGTGACTTCACAGGTGATCGTCCAGATAATGTTTAGGTGCATTCTTATCTTGATTTACCAGCGTTGTAAATAGTGTGTGTGTGTGTGTGTGTGTGTGTGTGTGTGTGTGTGTGTGTGTGTGTGTGTGTGTGTTTCGTTGTTCTAGATATTTGGTACCCAAGTTTATGCTTATTCACCATTAGTATACTGTTGTAAATATGTTCCCGAAGTCGTGAGGAAAGTTGAAGAATTTACATTTATTCGCTAATATTATTGAATTTATTCCCCCAAAAGTCGTTTTAAGTCTTCTAAAAGTTGTCCCATGTCCACCAATGTCAGTGACTATTTTCTAAGTAATTTGGAAATCTGAACGTTTTACAGAGTCGTCATCCAGTATTAGTGAAGACCTCTCACGAATGGTTCCTGGTTATAACTCATAAATATTTTGCTCTATTCCCAGTGTTAAGTGTATGCGTCTCCACCATCACTCAGGGGTTAACTCTATGATGCTCAGTGACTATGATCGTGCTGAGATTGATCGTGATTAACAGTAGAAGAAAAGCATCAAGCACAGCGAGAACAATTGTGTAGTGAGACTTAATACCTGGCAAGTTACTGAATGTTTCCACAGTGTACTGAGACAAGACACTGGTAGCCTGCTGAACTCACTCTAAGGAAATAGTGTAAGTGGAAAGTGTGTGTGTGTGTGGAACAGCTTTAGTGTGAAGACCAAATTTACTTGGAAATTTAAGTAGATGATGCATGGAGCAGTGTCAGTGTAAAGAAAAGATATTTACTTGGAAATATATTAATTTAAAACTCATGGAACAGTATTAGTGGTGATTAGTTAGTTAGTTGTTAATATAAGTGAAGGATATAGGAGGAGGGAAGAGATACAGTATACCAAACATCACATCTTAAGTTATACCATGAGGGAAGGTCGATGGTCTGTGTTGTACTGAGCTACGTGGTGGTGCTTGTGGTGAGTCAGTACCGCCAGAGGGTGCTAGTGACGGTGGTGCTGCTAAGACTGGCCATGACCTGCCTCCTCACCCTCTGTTTCGAGGACAACACTCCTACCCACAACACACTGCACCACGCCGACGACCATGATGCCCACCATCACCCACACCACCTACAGTCTGACTTGCAACAAGAAGTGGAGGAAGACCTGGAGCTACACCAACCTGACCTGCAACAAGAAGAGGAGGTTAAGCAATACTCCTCCTCATATTTGCAACGAGATTTGGAGGAGGACCAGGCTACGCTACATCTCGAACCTGAAGTGCAACAAGAAACTGAGGGGCAAGACCATGATGAAGAAAAACAAATGATGGAGGAAATGGAAGGGAGAGCAGAGGAGGAGGAGAGGGACGAAGAAGTGGAGGAAGAGAGTCGGGTTTTGGAAGAAAATGTGAGAGAGATTGTTAGTTGTGTTGAGGAAGAGGAGGAGCCTGAGGGAGAACGGCACCACAGTTTAACCCAGGATGAAGAAGAGCCTCAGGAAGAACGAGATGAAAGTGATGTCAATCAAGCAGATGTCGAAGATGCTGACGACGATGGTGATGGTGAACTGCTGGAAGATGAAGTCATGGCAGTAGATGGTGACCTTACTGTGCATCATCAGAAGAAAACGGTAATAGCAGAAAATGAAGACTGTGAGTATGCTAGTGAAGGAGATTATGAAACAGGAGGTAAGGGAACAACTTCAGAGAGTCCCCCGCCAGAGGGTAGTACCTGTGACAGAGAATGGGAAGTTGAGAGAAAACGGAGTGTGGAGCATGTAGAGGTGGTAGAGGGGGGACGGCTGGCTCACGAGGAGGAAGATCAGGAGAGTATAAACATTGACCACTATGATGATGTTTTTTATACCCCAGTTGAAGAGCAGTCTGAGTCTGGTACTAACAATGGGAAGGAGAAAGTGAAGGAAGCCAGCAAGGACACACTTAATGAAGATAATGTTCCCAAAACAGATTATTGTAATAATGAATGGGAGAATCGGGTTATGACGAGCCAGTCAGATTCTGGGGACGATAAAACGGAACACGTTGAGAGGGGTGATAATTTTATTGTGATAACTGAAGAGGAAAGTGATGAAGTCTTACAAACAGAAAAGAAAAGAAATTTAGATCAGAAGAATAAGGAATCAAGGAATGGCACGTGTAAGGAGAAACTATCGGTCGGGCTAAAAACATGTAATGTTATGAGCAATGAGGAAATTGCTGCGGCCATTAGCTGGATCAGAGACTTACCACCTCCTCTGTCAGGCCCTAAATGCACGTGTAAAGTGCCCGGGACGCCTCCTTGGAAGCTTGCTCGTCCCTGTAAGCTACCGGAGCCTCTTGCCGCGCCATCCGACTCTGTTCCTCAGCCACATGATCCTGTTGCCGCGCCACCTGAGCCTCCACCTGCCGCCTATGCCACCACTCTCGCCTCAGTCAATCACCAGATAGTGACGGTTCAGCTACGTAGACCTCGAAGTGCTACAGTCACAAAAGAAGCTGGATCGAGGACAAAAGACGACTGTTGTGATCGTCAACATGTTTTTTGTCGAAGTGGTAGGTCACTCGAGTCTAAGTGGGAGTCTTTATGTACAACTAAAACTTGTGTTCGAGGAGCCACCCCGGAAGAAACCAGCAAGAGTGTTAGAGTTCTCGCTGCCGAAGAACCGGCAATGTTGAGAACAAATGCAGAAAACTTGAGGGAAAAACGACGGATTTTTCGATCATGGAGTTTCTTTGGTGCAAAGTCTCCACAGGATGACTTGACCCGCTCCCTGCACGGCTTCACTACCACTCCTTCATCGTCTGTTGGCTCCTCGTCTTCATCAGTGTCTTCTCCTATATGTAGTTCCTCTACCTTCGCCACCCTCATCACACCCCGCCGCTGGTCCCGCCTGCTGGAACAGAAGAGGAGAAGTTTCCAGTCGTGTATCTTCCCAGACGCCTACTCTCCCTCCATCGGTGGAAAATTATCCGCCAGGGTCAAGTCGGAATCTGACGTGGCGCCCAGGAAACACTCCGTTAGCCACGAGCCCATCATCAACATCAAACCTCAAAGTCTGTCTAAAACTTTCAATGAGAAGCGTAAGTCCGTCACATCCTGCATCTTCCCCGACACTGTGAACGAGGACTGCACGCCCTACACCCGAGTTAAGGAGGAACCTGACCAAAAACCCGTTTCTAGATTAAAAACTGGAAAATCAGAGTCGCTGCCGAAAACGAAATCTAATTGGCGATTTAGACAATTTTCCTCTAATGGCGACATACCTGGCTGGCGGGACAGTTCAGTAAATAACACTTGTGGAGTTCAGTTGGAAAGTTCCTCCTCAGAATCGCAAATCACAAGTTTGGAATCACAGTTAATCAATTCTAAGCTACAGACTACAGAATCAGAGTCAAAGATTAGGAGAAATTTGTCTCGTACGAAGAGACCCAAGTCACTCATCATAATACCCGAGACACAGACAGTCCGAGTTGACCCAAACATTAACAGACCTGAAACAGCTGTCAAAAGACCCGAGTCTCTGGTGGTCCCCTCGTGTGTTAGAGTCCCCAAAAGAGACCCGAGGCTGACTCCTCCTCAACCACCAGAAATTAGCTGTGACTTAAGGTCCCAGAGTCAAGGTCGTCTCTCCGCCATAGACCCCAGGGAGGGGCCTTGCTACATACATCGTTCTCTCAGCCACATCTTGACCCAGAGTCACAGTGAGTCCTCCCAGAGCATAGGTCGTACACCATTGATAGACCTCAACTCAATCGTGCTTAGATCACCGGCAACGAAGCCGAAAAAACGACGTAAGAGCGCACGGTCGTGGTCATACAACGAGAAGATGATGGTGTCGTCGCCGGAGGGTGTGTTGTACCAGACGGAAGGGAGATCACGGAGGTCAGGAGCGTGGGCCCCGCATGTCCTGCGGCCTCGCTCACTCTATCCCAGGGATTCATCAGCTGAACCGTCCCCCACCTCCAACACGTGAGTAACATATATCCTTTTAACTTGTTTCTCTTCACTTAGGTTCTCTAATTGTTTTTGTTTAGCATTGTTTACATGCAGCACTACTAGTATACTGTTGGTACTAGCAGTTGGAGGCAGCATAGGCCAGGCAACTGCTATATTTCTAAATAGTTGCACTCCACAGTATAATAGGTAAGTACGTTACAGCACTAACACTGGACTTTACACTGCGATAATATTTTTGTCTATTTCCTGCCTTAAAGTTGATACGAAAACTTTCTCCTTAACAGTGACATATCTCTGACCTGTCACACTTCAGTTGCAACAGAACATAATAAACGCCACATCTACTACACAAGGAAGACCTTACATTTGTGGAGACATTACCCGGTTTCCTCAAGCATCCATAATATACCAAGCTTGGAGTTTGTTAAGGAGAGTTGGGCAGCACCAGGACCTACCTGCCCAAATGTGAGATTTATATTATGTGTGTGGTAGATGGAGGTCATGCTGCTGTAAAGGACCCCAGCTGAGGCGTGACAGGTCTGATACATGTTACTAGATACAGGTGGTTGTTGTTTACGTCTTGTAGATGATAATGGCTCCCACTTCCTGATCCTCTTGTTCCAGTATAACCTTGGTCAGTCAGGCTCCTCCCTCTTCTTGTTTACTGTTACTTTATATTCTATGTTATGGTGATATTAAAGTAAATAGCCCACGTTATATTCGAGCCCAGATGTTCTACTTACTAACTATACATCTTGCCATCAATGCAGTGCTTAACACAGAAACCTCACATCCTTTCCGTGTCTGTGTGTGTACACTGTACACACAACCAGGAACTCTTTTAAAAGTAGAGCCGTAGATCATTGAGGCGCCTTGTAATGTACCCTTATGTTACAAGGTGTTAGAAAAAAATTGCCTGTGACGGTAGGGCCAGGGTATCGGCAGTCGCCTACTGTGTTGCTTTGGTTACCTGTCCGTCAGTGTGTGTGCGCGCGTGCGTCCGTCCTTCCGTCCGAGTGTTGAAAATACGATGATGCAGAGAAAAAGAACCGAGATGGATTTTAAGCAGACCACATGTTACCTCCATCACGGCAGCACCGGTCCATGTACTGTAGACAGTGTTAATGGTCTTACAGGCAAGCTCCCTGAACCTCCTGTACAGTACATACGTCTTGCCTTAACCCTGATCTTGTCTACACCGCCGCCACCATCCATCTTTCTTATCCTCCTCCCAGACCTACACACAAACACATCTTTGCTTCATTCTCACCTCAGTCTGCCTCATTCCTGCCTCCTCACTGACCTCCTCAGGAATTACTTAGAACTCACACTCTTATAAGAAGATTTTGACCTGAGTGTTGCTAACGAGACAGTTAATAGTATGGGCCCCTCGTAGACAGGTGACGTGTTCATGTTCAGTAAAGGAGTTTTCTTCGTTGTATCGTGCAGGTTGCGTCTCCCCTCAACGAGTCCGTATCATCATCATTATCACCATCATCATCATCATCATCATCATCATCATCATCATCAGTGGTAATAAATAGTGTCTTGTTAGCCTGACCATTACCACCGTCGTCAGCGGCGCTACACGCTAATGAGCTTCCCGGCCCCTTCACTTCACTGGCTGGCGCGGGAACACTTTATTACCCCACTTAACTCGCCACTTCACTGACTCTACCATCTGTAAAGTGTCAGCTGGCCACCACAAGTGTATCAAGTGGACCAAGTGAATGTTAAATGTTGTCATAAATGTTTAGTGGCTCTGGTAGTTAATGGAAATTGTTTTTATTGTTAATAAACTCGTGAGTTAACCTTTTGTAGTATTGCCATATGTGAGAGAGAGAGAGAGAGAGAGAGAGAGAGAGAGAGAGAGAGAGAGAGCAGGAAACGGGTTCTTTTGGTGTCACCGCCTTGCCTTCGGTAGTGACGGAAGTACAATAACGAGTCTTTTATCTGATGCAACATTGTGTCTGTCTTCCATTTCCCTTCAGGAGATGATGTCTGGGTGTGTGTGTGTCTATCCGTGCATGTGTTTCCTCCGTGCGTGCGTCCGTCCGTTCGTTTCTGTTCGTGCGTGTGTGTCTGTTCGTGCGTGTCTGTCCGTTCGTTTCTGTCCGTGTGTGTGTGTGTGTCTGTTCGTGCGTGTCTGTCCGTTCGCGTCTGTTCGTGCGTGTGTCTGTCCGTCTATACATGTTACAAACGCAATAACTTCAGAAAGTAAAATCTGACAGCTGTGAAACTTTATATGTGGACGTAACCCAAATGTTTCTCAGAAGTCCTATAATATTGAGGAGTTGTGGGTGAGGGAGGATTGACCTCTGGCGTCATCAGCAGATACCAATCGTCCAAGACCGTTAGATTGGCACTCTATATTGGCACTGTACTTGTTTGTCTCTGGCGCTCGTATCTGTCTGCCCTTCACTCGGCACTGGGGTATTGACTAGCCCACTTAAGAGTTGTCAGGGAGTGAGGAGCTTAGTGGGTATGACAGGGATCAGACCTGCAGTCTTGCCTCGGGTCCTACGGGGTCCTACGAGGTCATCCTTCTCATGGTCCTTTTAAGAGATGAACTATGGTGCTCCTCGATGAACCACGGTTCTCCTCGTCGACTCTTCAGTGATAACTAATTGACCGCTTGAGTGTCGGGCAGGACAGAGGAGAAGAGGGTATACGGGCTTCCACTCAACCAAGACGTGGGTAGTGGTTGAGGGTAGATGTACATGCAGTAAACCCTCCCAACACCAGACTAATTCTCACAAGCCCTGTCTGTTATTGGGAGGATTTTGTTATTGAGATTATTTACTATTGAGAGGTCCGTTATTGAGGTTGTCTCTGTGTGTGGGGGTGCCTCTGTGTGTGTGGTGGGTGCCTGTGTGTGGGGGTGTCTCTGTGTGTTTGTTTGTGGGGTGCCTCTGTGTGTGGGGGTGCCTCTGTGTGTGTGCCTCTGTGTGCCCTGTGTGGGGGGGTGCCTCCGTGTGTGGTGCCTCTGTGTGTGGGGGTGCCTCCGTGTGTGGGGGGTGTCTCCGTGTGTGGGGGGGGGGTAATGTGAGTGTGGGAGGGTTCATGTTTCCCAGGGTCATTTGGCCCGTGGTATCATGATGTAGGTCAGGTCATCCACCTTATCAACAGATGACAGCCGTCAGCCTTATGTCTGCCGCCTCTCTTCACACACTTCTGTCTCTTACCTCTCTTATCACATCTCTACCTTGGCCTCTCCCCGCCTCTTATAGAAATAACTTGACTTAATACTTACATGTCAAGGTGAATTGCATCGAGTCACCTGTACCGTGTAATTATGTTTGTGAACTGAATACTAAAGTGTTCGAATGGCTGCCTCTGTCGATACCTTTTTTTTTATTTTTTTGTCTATTTATGCACACTATAGTTTGATTTTGGTAATTTTGTGTTGTATTCAGACCAATACTTTTATAGAAAATTATTCCAGGTCGTATTAATTTTTCTCAAAATAAGTAGTAACACACTCGCTATATATAATCGGTAGTAATTCTTTAGTAATCGCGTTGAGCCAGCAACTGTTATGCCCGACCTCCACAACACGACTGCTGGTCTCTGTTGAGGAGTTATCACACGTCACTCACAGGAGAGAGCCCCTTACTGGACGACGTCACTTAGTGCTCTTTACCTTAGTGACAAAACTCAGTAAGAAATATTGAGTGAACTGAGGGTGTGGGAACCTGAACGAGATTAGCCAGTTAGTTGGGGGAGCAGACGAGCAGCTCCCCGCCCTCTCCGGATGATAAAATGAAAGTCACTCACCTGGGGACGTAATTGGTGCACTTTTCGCAGACACACTTATTCGATAATTATGGCAGGTGTTACAGGTGTTACTTGTTCTGGTGGACCAACGAGACGTAAACAAATCGGGTTCGACACTATAGTCTTCAGACAGAGTAGAGGTGATAGGCTAACAGGAGGTACTACTGTTTATCACCAGGACATATATGTTTATACTTACTCAGATCATCTTAATAGATAGTGAAGGCTGGGAGACAAGCTGGGGGCGTCTGTAGGTGAACACAGAGATGGGAGGGGTTGGCAGTCCTCGTCGGCAGCAGCAGCAGCGTCAAATATGGCATACCGTGGAAAGTGAAGTGTCTAGGCCCCTGTAGGAGTGACTCAGGCCAGTAGGACATGTAAACACTCAAACACAACAGACACGAAAACATAATTAGGGTCGTAAATACTTTTGTTAATGCGGGTGATGTAACTATAATTAACAATATCTCTGGGGATAATTTTTCCCGTGTATAATAATATTTTGACAGTGTAAACATACCTAGTGCCTATACACCTGGTGCAGTACAGGTGTGTTGTGTGTTAACTCATCTGGAGGACAGTGTATAAAGCCTTTCTATTGAAGGTTGTCTGTATACGTAAAGTTTTTTCTTATATAGAGGTCATGCATGTAAAGTTTCATATAGAGGTCATGTATGTAAAGTTTCACATAGAGGTCATGTATGTAAAGTTTCACATAGAGGTCATGTATGTAAAGTTTCACATAGAGGTCATGTATGTAAAGTTTCATATAGAGGTCATGTATGTAAAGTTTCACAAGTAGGTCATATATATATAAAGTTATCATGGCTCCTCTCACCTGTTCGCCTCCGTTGGTGTTCAAAAATTCCTTCATAATCAGTTTCGTATTTTTATCACAATCACCGACGACGTTAAAGGCAGCCTCTTCCATTTTGGCCGAGTATTTTTTGTAATTAAGTTTGTAGTTTAATCACAATAAACTGTAAGGTCATCGGCGCTCCTGCAGTTTAGTTGAGTTTCTTATACAGTTTCACATTTTTCTAATTAAGTGATGACGTCAGAACAAAGGAGCAGGGGGAGGGGAAGGAAGGAAGGAAGGGGGGTGGGGGAAACATGCTGGTAGTTGACCTAATGCATGGTGAAGCTCTGGACGTATTATAGTGAGTTATCTGGAGTGGGTAAGGATGGTGGTTGTGGTTGTGGTGGGTGGTTGTGGATGTTGGAGCAGTGTGGAG